CTATCGCCCAGTCTTATCTCGTTTACAACAATACTCAGCAAACTTATGATGATGATAATGATGATGATCAATCAGTGATGATAGTGATAATAGGACAATCACATTACTTTTAGAGGGCATATAGTCATGTGATTATCATTATTATCATTACACAAGGCAAATCGTACAAATTTATTTCATAAGAGAAGACTGACTAACATGAAATCAAGTTGCGAGCTGCAAATTCCAGTTACAGCCCGCACTTTGCCATTTGGCCCGCGAAAAGGAGCGTTTTAGAGAGGGCAGTTTGTCAGTCGGCCGCGTGTAGGATTATAAGCTTCTCATTTAAACTATGACCTGCATGTACTTTTTTTTTTCAGGAGGAGGCCGCGAAATGGACCAGTCGTGGTGTTTCTTTATATCGAGACCATAACTATGTTCTCGCTGAGCAGTGCACAAGTTTCGCTTTGTATTTTCGTGTGGACAATCCCTTTTTTAAGGCTCAATCCTTTTTGTACCGAGCTCTGTCAAGGTTTGAACTTGGAAATATTTTAGGAACACAAAGCGACGCACAGGAAGTCAAAAGACTTGATAAAAATTTCGCAAGGGTAAGAGAGTTACTTTCTGCTAAAATTTTGAATAATGCCTTTAATGAACTAAAGCTGATCACGTGCTAAAACTGATCAAGTGTTCTGGTGGATTCTTATCTGTGTAGATGGGAGAATCAAGAAGCGAGGGGGTTGGGGAGGGATTTTCTTTGTAAGATGTTGGAAACTCGGCTTTTATTATTGTTACTTTTTCATCAAATCGGAAGAAATTAAAATTTGATGGGAAGTTCAAGCCAACGAGACATACATTTTTATTCACTATTGCGCAACATCTTTAACTGCAGGCCTCAGCTCAACAACAAAAAGAGGAAGCAATGGAAAAGTTTAGACGACACAGCTACGAGAAAGCGGTGGAATTATTTCAACTCTGTCTTCTGTTTCATCCGGACGATAGCTCAGGCGTGAAGTTTAGACGTTCGGTTCAGAGTCATCAAGCGACTGCTTACTTCCATTTAAAGAATTACAGGAAGGCTCTTGAGGTTGGAGAGTCTAATTCAACATTTAAGTCTAAGGTAAGATATATTCTTGCTAGTAAAGCTCCCTTGCCAGGCGATTTCGAGTGATCGATAGCTACAATCTTCCAGAAGGGAACCAAAGTATCGACAGACAAGAAGGAACGAAACCCTCACTCGCGAACAGCTTTCCTGGTTTTGCCTTTTGTGATTTCATTTAATGTTATAGTTCATTGGTTTTTTTTTTTTCATGAGTAGCAACTCTGCTGCTTACCTGTCTGCTGTCTGGATTATCAACTTTGGGCTTTGCGAACAGACTGGAACTAAGCCCTGGAGCGCTTACCATTTGTAAGAAAATTTCGGTGAAAAATTTCTGACAAATGGTAATGGACTTGAAAACGTCTCCGAAAAGAGAAATAGGTTAGAGTTGTACCATTTGCAAAACACCAGATAACGAGTGGAACTGGGTTAAAACAAATCACCTTCGATTCCGCCTCAAAAGGAAGCCTGGCACTGGTTAACTAGACAAATGGTACAAATAATTTCGGTTGTTTCGGTAAAAACGACAAAAAGGTATACGTAAAACCTTGAAAGGTATTACTTTTTTTCCGGAAAATTTCCACCGGGATAAACCATTCCATTTGAATTCTCCCCCGAATTACCGGGTTTTCCATACAAATGGTAAGCGCTCTTGGTCTCATGGCGTTTGATAGCTAGGAGTAGCCTAAATAGAAATTAATCGACTCTGGAAAGACGGTCCTTATATTACTGAACCTTAGTGTGCACTGGCCGTATTTACAGGATGAAGCAGAAAGATGGAAGGACAGAGGAAATCGCCTCTCCAAAGAACCCAGTTCGTTAGACCTAGCAATCGACTGTTATTCGCTTGCACTTAAATATGCAGACGAGAAGGACCTTAAAGCAACTATTTTGTCAAACCGATCTCTGATGTATATAAATACGGCAAGATACGAAGAGGCACTATGTGATGCCCAGCGTTGTGTAGAGAACAAACCCAACTGGGAAAAGGTAAAACGAGGCCTCTTTACTTTTACATTCGTGCGGGTGGAGATTTAGAATCAAGTTTACAGCGAACGGTACACGTGACATTTCAAATTGGCAATTTCTCAATTCGCGAAGAGAGCCAACAAGAACTGGGCTCTGAAAATATTCTTGTTTGTAAACGTGTGACCGCTGATATAACTGCGGATTAAGGACCAGTAAAGGGAAAACTTGACGTTTGCTGTTTTTCGGTAACGTGATTCCGAATCTCTCCGTAGACCATTTTTACGATGACGACATTATACTCGAACTACCAAAATTCATTTCGTTTTTGCCTTCTGCTTTCTTATTTAGTTTTCTAAATCCCGCTGAGTTTAAAAAACACTAGCCTTAATTTGCACAACGAAACAACAAACTGAAGGATTCTGGTACTTGTAGTAAAATGACGTTATCGTGCAATTGTCCTGTGACGATAACTGAAATTTCGCATCCGTTCCTCGGTCAATCAAGAGTAAAATCAAAATCGTACCAGTCGTGACTTATTTGCACGTGATTTCCTGTGATGGGCCTGGCTACATGTATTTGTTTTAAGATCCGATAGGTTCATCGGATTGTCTTCTATTCCCTGTACTGTAATTGACTTGTTACCCAACTGAAACTGTTCCAATTAAAAATAGCCTTTACTTTGCGCAATTAAGAAAACTACCCACAGTGAAAAATTATTGATACGGCTACTTCATGGTTCAAAGCGTAAATATTTTCAGGCCTGAAACTGACTCGTCTCCAGTTGACTCTTATCACTCCTTAGCGGCTTGCAGGTTTATATGGAAAGGACGAACGTGAAAGGGAGAGAATTCTTCTCTTCGTTCCATCACCCTCTACTTCCGTCGCTGTCAGTTCGCGTTTAATACGAAGAAGACTGGAAACGAGTCAGGGCTGAATTTTTTTTCCGATCAGTTCTTTGATGCTGGTTCCTTTACTTAGTTTTGAGATATCTACACAGTTTCTGCACTAGCTCGTATCCTTTATATTTGTATTTACTACACGTCAGGCGCAGTACCGTTTAGGATCTTGTCTATTTGCACGCGAGAGATACAGTGAAGCTTTGGAGCCTTTTTCAAGATCTCTAAAGTTGTTACTTAACAATCCCTCAAGTAAGGAGCACCGTAAAGTGGATACCTTAAATCAAGTTTTGTCGGTGGCACAAAAACATCCAGGTACGTAGTCGACTTCACACACATACATACAAACTAATATTTTAAGGGAAAGAGATACCATTTGGAAAAGTATATAAAAACTGTCAAAGGTGTTATCAAAGTAATTGTCATTAAATATGGCAAAGTAACACTCCACAAAGGCCACATTGAGAACAGAAGGTGGCCGTTGTGGGGAGGTAGTGGTGTAATACAATATATAAAGATTATCTAAGTCAGAAAACCGGTATTCAATTTTCTGATACACGTTCGTTTTATAGCGTAAAAATTCGAATAGTTAACACGCTAGTTTCATATCACGTATTTCATTCAGGTGGCACGTGTGGTATCCAATACGATGTCCCTCGAAGCCTAATTCAAACGGCAGTCGACAAGGCTGTGGCCGATAAAGACTGGCAGCGACTTCATCTTCTCTTCATGGGCGGTGGAGGAGAAAAACGTTTTCAGAAAGGCTCAGGAGGCCTGGGAACTGGCTGCGACGCAAGTAGTGTTCCCTTGGAAGAAGTCATTCAATGCGATTTCAAAGATCTTACGGATTTTATAAGCGCCTTACTGGATCACAAAGCAAGCGGTGATCCTCCAAAGGGGCGCGAAAATCCAGTCGATGTCGCCATCCAATTGGAGAAATTTGATGTTGTAAATGTTCTGATGGACAGATGTAAAACGACAGAGCCGTCCCTAGAAACAACCAGCACAAGTGAAGCCCATAAGGTATGAGAATACGAGGCGCGACGTTTTTTCTGTCAAGTTAGAGCTTCTATAAGATGTGCTCTCATTATATCTTTCATATAACGGTCCCTTCAACTGTTAATAAAACGCAAAAAAAGGGAAAACATTTTATGTTAGAAGTCTTGCTTCAGCGAAAACGTAGTATTCTCAAAGAGTATGAAACCTTTCTTCCTTGCCTTAATTCTGGTTCCGGCAGGTGGGTAAGTGAAAACAGCGAATCACCAATGAACAGGACGTAGTGGAGGGCTTCTACGGTTTTGTGGCTAAACATGTGAAATCACCTTAAACGGACACCGCCATAGGACGGTTAACCCCCTAAAAACTACACTTAGAGGTGGCCCCTGCCATTTTGTCGCTTGAAAATTGAATAGACCTTTCTAGCTTGTAAATTTTCTTTTCCCATTTCAGACCACGAGATGTTACCTTCAGACAACTGTTGGTCTCAAATGTCGTCCTATCCAACAGCATATTTATGCATAATTTATGAAATGACAAAGGCCAAATCCCTTGAGAACATTTCACGTTGCTTTGCTTGAATTGGGAAAACATTACATACAAGCCTAAAAGGTCGATTGACTCCCTATATGACCGGACATTTTTTACGACCGAAGCTAGGCCGTTTCCAGAAAGCGTCCGTCTTCTAGAGACCTGACCTTATATGATTTAAGATGCGGCATTACACCAGGATTTTGAAGGCCTCGTCCATTAATGTTTTCCTTGTTTTCATTTTGCCTCTTTTCCAGAGAACGTTCAAATCTGAAGCTCTGGAAGCAATAAGGAAACGTGACAACAAAAAGGCAATCGAACTGTTGCAACTATCGCTAAAACATGAGAAAAACAACGTTAAAGAACAACGCAAAATACTTAAACATTTGTGCGAGTTGTACTTTGGAGAAACCTCCTTCCAAGAATGTCTCGCGACGGGACGGAAGTTGAAAGCTACTTGCTGGGGAGAGAAAGGAGAGGATAATGATTCCTTCAGGGTAAGTTTGTTATATAAGTGATGATAAAACACGAATGCCACGAACTGAACTTAGAGTTCCTGTCTTTCAAAATTTTCTATAATCATCATCATCACCACTTCCGCCACAACCATCATCGTCTTCGTCATCATAATCATCATCACCACCTTATAATTGTCATCGTCATTATCATCACCATAATCATCATCATCCTATTATTCACCTAGTACTGAACCTTATTGTACATATACCTGTTATTCTTTGGACTCTTTTTGTCTCTTACTAGATTGCACTGGCTAACCAGTGGAAGAAGTGGGGCAACGAGCTTCACAAGGAAAGCAAGTACGAGTTAATGGCTCAGTTCTACAGTCTTGCTCTGGAGTTCACACCGCTATCAAACAAGGAGATAATGACAGCTCTCCTCTGTAACCGATGTTTGGCGTTCATTAAGTTGAAAAAGTTTAAGGAAGCTTTAGCAGACGCCGAAAAATGCATCAAAATTAGGCCTGATTGGTTCAGGGTGGGTCGCTATTTTCGCTTTGTACCCCTAACTAATATTGAACGACGTTTTCATGTGTCGGCAACGCAAGAGTTAGACAAAGTGCTAACGAATATCAAAGGCCATGACATAAGAGAGGAGAGGAAGATGCTTCTTTTAGGTACAATTATTTCGCAAGGTATATTCTTCAGTTCATTAGATAGAAATGCTATTGGGTGAATCTGCACACCAGCTTCCCATACTACTTACTTCCATATAGAGCATATTGTTATCTATTTCCTTTTCTGTCAGGGACATTCGCGCCAGGGAACCTGCCTGTGTCACCTAAAACGAAAGAGAGAAGCTCTTGAAGCTTTCTGTAAAGCACACACCTGCGCTTTAAATGAGAAAGACGAAAATGCCACTGCCTATGACGTAATATCCACCGCTATGGACGTAGAAGGTTAGTGATCTGTTTTGAACCGTTATCAAAAAAGCAACGCAAGGGGCTGCTTGCTTGATAACCATGCTATGACACCCCTTCAAAGCCCAGTGGAATACATTTGGATGTCGACTGATATAAATCTGATGGTCTTAAATTTCGGCTTTCGGCTCTGTACATGTGTCACTGAACGATTCTTGGCCATACTCATCGACTTAGTAAGTTTCAATGCAAACGTGTTTGAAGAAAGTTGTGTTGAAAATTCCCCCAACAGCCCTGGCCGACCCATTTAGATTGGACAACCGTGAAACTGTCGTTATACTATCCTTAGTTATAAACCTCGAATATTGGACCACCTGCGTAAATCCACTTATGGCCCCTCGTATGACTTGCGAACGAATTTTACTATTCCAACAGGAGTCATGATTTGTCCGGTTTTTGTCACCGGATTAAAAAGAAAAACATCGGCGCAATTTATTGTTTGATCAATGACTACTGTATTCTATTTAGGTGACAAGATGGATTGGTTATGATGAAACCATTGGATACTCATGAGCGACGTTACCTTTCCTCGTTGCCTAATTGTAATTGGCAGAAGTGACCCTCGAAAAGAAGAGACAAATATGGGAAAGTGACCGCATGTTTTTACTTTTCTGCAGGTGGAGAAAACCGGATTACGTGCAACCTTTCTCTCAGGAGTCTGCAGTATCTGGTAAAAGAGGCAACCGTTAAGAATGAGTGGAAAAAACTAAGATTTCTGTATCTTGGTTTAGCAGCTAGTAAGGCAGCCAAAGGAGTATGTTTTGAATGTGACGCCTCATGTGTGCCATTAGATCTCCTCATTGAGTCAAATGTGGAGGATTTACATAATCTTGTTCCACTTCTCCTGCGGAGAGGTGCCCTGCCAAATGGTTTGAAAGAATGTAAAAGACCTCCTTTGTTGGTTGCAATGGAAAGGAGGAAATTTCCTATAGCTGTGATTTTGTTAAGAAACCAAGCTGACCCTTCGTGCATTGTTGGACATGGAATATTCATAAATAAAGAGGTACGTAAAATAAAACGAAATTTTTTAATGTCCTCCCAAATTTGTAACATGCGCAAGCTCAAGCGCGCAACTAATTAACTATGCAATCCTGATTATAATGTACAACGAGGAGCTTGACAGGGATCGAGGGTTTGAATCGCTTCAGGGACAATAATGCAGATTCATCTCTTGTAGGGTCAATCAAAGCAGTGGCTACATCTTGGTCGCAAAGCAGTTGAGAGCAGTAACCATGAAAAGGCAGTCATGCTCCTCAACATGTGCATTCATCTCTCTGATCCCGACCAAGATGTGTCAATATTAACAGCCGCGTACCAGGCTTTGGCAGAGGCACACTTCAAGCTGGAAGAGCATGAACAGTCTATCAGCGCTGGGAAGGAATGCTTTAAATTGCGACCACATAAATCAGAGGTATTTTAAATTGCTGTTGAGATATGTCTTTGAAATACATATGTGTTATTATAACCAAGCTCGAGGTTATCTTAATCAAGCAAGCTTGGACAATAAAGGATTTATTATATGGCCAGAAAGAGAACTTTTTCTTGCGGGACAAACGGGGGAAATCCCGAGAAAGCGAGAGGGGCCCGTCCTTCTCGGGTAACGAATCAGAATATAGGATTCAAAAAACACATACAAAAAAGAAGCCCCTGAGATCTGCTCTCGATTTTGTACAGCAAGTTAGTTCTCATAGTCAGCATGCAGACGTTTTTTTATTTTTGCTCTTTTCATGGATTAGAGAAACAGTAAAATTCTGCACTTTGGCCAAAAAAACAAGCACTTTTATATTACAGCAAGTAGCCCAAAAGTGTGACCTCCTTTAATTAACTCGCATTCTTTCACGCAGAGATTAACCAAGCAGAAGTCGAGGACACTTTGCAGCTGGCTTCTGATTGGATTAAATCTGCACGAAAGAATGTGAATAAATCAAAGCGGTCACACTTCTGGGCTCTTTGCTGTAACTTGGGAGAATGATCGACATTAATAAGATGGCGATGACAACAACGAAACAAATAACTAATATTTAGAAAAAGTAATTAAAATCATCAATATATATATATATATTTCTGAGATACCACTTTAACCTTTATTTAAGGATGAAGCCAAAAATTGGCAATTTCGTGCATCCCACTTCTCCACGTTGGGTCAGTACAAGTCCTGTATCGAATGCATCAATTTAGCATTGAAATACACTCCTGCAGAATCTACAGGTATCTTTTCTCGTCTGTTAAGTCAACGGTCTGAGGTTGAACAACAGTTAGGTGAATACACAAGAGGCTTGGAAGATGCCAGAAAGGCTTCAATGATAGCAGTAGATATGCTGGAGGTAAGCAAAGCTAACTTTAACTACCCGTTTTGCCGCAACTGTAAGAGGGCATCGATACGACTTGAGAGAGCGCCACACCTAAATAGAATGAAGAGGGTGCAACTGGGATGGGAAAACGAGGAAGATGTCATCGTATATGTATCTGCCAGGGACTGGGATTGGATTTCAATCGTTAACTCTTCTTGGTTAAGGGTTAATGGGCTAAATATCTCCATCTTGCATTCAGAAAGCCCTGATCTAGGCCCACTGAGCCCATCTTGGTGGCTGGCAGGATAAGATGGCAGATTCAGTGAAGAATAGGCTGGGCTTCAGAGTGAGACCAGTTACACGACAATATGATTTACTGAAGCTTTCATTTCTTTCTAGGGATATCTGAATCAGTATCGTTGTCTTCGGGCACTTAACAGACGAAGTGAGGCGATGCAAGCCATTAATGAGTGTTTAAAGCGAACAATCGACGAAACTGTCTTATGCGACCTTTTGAACAATGCACTTAATATTGCAGGTGGTCTTGAAGGTAAAGTGAATATATTACCCCAGATTGTATAATTGCCACAATTTACCTTTAACGCCGGTGTCATTTATGGCTCAAAACACCTCCTTCCAATTGTTTTAAATCTCCAGGTCTGGGGGTTGATCTTTTCTAGATTGTTGCTTTTTGAATACATCATTTATGAATGAAACGTACTGAAATGAAACGTAGCTTGAATTTTTTAGGTATCAACTTTCACCTATACTGAACTTTTTTGTTTTATTCTCAGAGAGAACATCGGCTCTCACAAACCCTATCCCAAGTAAGCTTCTCATTAACCTGGTAAACGACGTAATAAAAAAGAAAGACTGGCACAAGCTTAAAACCCTGTATCTTGGAGGAGGAGGGCCTTCGTCCCTGCCAGTAGGAGCTGGGGGGCTGGCAACTAACATCGACACTACCAATGTCCCGCTGGGAGAAGTCATTCATCACCTTGGCCTTAAAGAGCCCTTGCTAATATCAGTCTTGGTTGAGCATGGGGCATCCGTTAACGTGATGGAAGGATCAGATGTCATACCTTTGAACGAGGCCATGGAAAAAGAGCAGTTACCTCTTGTGAAAAAGCTAGTCCAGTACGGAGCAAACTGTTGTGCTGCGGACAGTAAAGGAGAACCAATAATTCACAAAGCCCTTCAAAAAGGCCTGATAAGTGGTAACTGTACTGGTTGAACTTCTATTTTGCTATAATACTCATGTATTTAACTGTTCTGGTTCATATCCTTGATAGCCTATATAGAAAGGTTGCTCATAGTTGGACGTGAGTCACCAATAAATTTCGTAAGGGACGTTCTTTACAAAAAGTACACTCAGCTTCGTCGTAGAATGTGTATAAATTTCCCATGGTATATAATTAGACTCTTCTTTGAGCATTAATTGTCATTTAGATTTGGTTTTCCTTCCCAGGTGATTTCAGCTTTCTGGAATCAATGATAAAATCCAAAAACCCCAAGATAGAGAACGTTCGAGACGCCCGTGACGACACCCTTTATCACCTAGTTTGTGCAGAACGGAGACCCAACAAGAAGTCGTTTAATCGCAAGTGTGATGCAATACGATTACTTCGAGTAGCAAACGTAAACCCGAACCTCCCCAACAAAAGGGGTTTTCGCCCGGTTCAAATGGTTAATAAGAAGGATCCTCGCTGGAGGATGATAAGTACCTCGATAGAAGCCTACAATTCGAAAACTCCTGCTCCTTCCTTCCACGAAACACACTCTGAAAATCCATTTCAGGAAGAAGAGAACAAATCTAAAACCGTAGTAGCTAGTGAAGAAGATGACAGGTCCGTTGCTTGTGAATCTGAGGTAAACCAAGAAGAGGAAACTTCAATACCCACAAAGGTCAACGAAAGTAGTAAGCCTGATGATAAACAAAAACGCAGGATACAACTAAGGCAAAACATTGATGTCATAATAGAAACTTTGTCTCCGCTTGTGTCCGTTCAAACGGTAGAAACTGAAGAACAAGAAGACAATGATATTCTCGATGAGTCTGCTCCAATTCCTGACATGACAGGAAATGAGGAGACGCCAAAAGACCACGCTTTTGAAGTGTCTACTATAAGCGACTACAGACAAATTGATGCCACCGAGCAAGAGATCACAGATGACGAAGTGGAGGCTGAAATTGACTTTCAAACTCCTTTTGAAGACCTTCCTTGGGAAGTCGACTGTACTGATCGAGTGTGGAAGGTAATGAGAAGCAAAAGGGTAGACAACAACACGCGAAAACGAATTATAGAAAAAGTGCAAATGTTGGCAAATGGGAGATGGAGCAAGACACTTTGTAAAAGGCTGGAAGGTGAGCCAAAGAAAGAGGGCATCCACCTCTATGAGTCAAAGTTGACCAAAGGTCAGCGAATACTATGGGAGGTAACTGTCGCTTTTTCTGGTAGGCTTAGTGACCTACCCGAGAACCGTTTAAAAGAAGAAACTTCTGAAGGACGAATCTACTCGGAGATCATTCGTGTTTGGGACATTGTGTTGGACCATGACAAACTTCAACGTTCAATTGACCACATCGTCAAGTCACATGACCGAGGAACGCATTGTCTAATCAAAAAGAAATTGAAAGGAATACATGCGGAATCTCGAAATGCCAACGCTTCATCAGGCGAGCGTTTGCCCAACAAGTACGTGGAAATAGCAGATCTGAACACCCAAACCAGGTCAATCAATAAAAAGAACATTCCAAAGAAGACACACCCAAGTGAAAATTTGCCTCAAATGTTCTTCCCACCTGCAAGCTCAAATGAACAAGAATACCATATTCTTAAGTTTTACTCGTTTAACACACCCTTGGTGAAGACAGTTCTAGAAAGTGATACCTCTACAAAGATCGACTTCCCCTTCAAGATCACAGAGCTGGAACATGCCATTGTCAACCTCCGTCCAAACCCTCCAACTCCCATCATTCTCCTGGGTCGTAGTGGCACCGGTAAAACCACTTGTTGTCTTTACCGCTTATGGGATAATTTTCAAAGGTACTCGGAGAGGGCAGCCACGGCTGGACCCCACATTCCACAATATGTCCATCCTTTGGAGGCCTGTGGAAGCGACAGCAAAGTAGAATCCCCACTGAGTTCAACCGATCAGGATGGATGTGGCATAGACAGTCGACTATTGGCTACAAAATGTAATGAATATGAAGACAGCAAGGATTTAGAAAAATCTGACATGCGCGGCAGTTCATGTTTTCACCATTCTGAACAAGACTTTCAATGTGAAGCTAATATTCCTGGCAATTCAAATGGTCCTTGCATGTACGAGCACTTACACCAGATATTTGTTACCAAGAATACTGTCCTCTGCAGCGAAGTAGAAAAAAACTTTAAAGAACTCTGCCGAGCGTGTCCGGCTACGCAGCGACGTCTGCAGTTTGAGGACCGATCCACCCCGAAAAAGATTCAAGACGTTGCCGAGGAGGAGTGGCCACTCTTTCTGAACTCTAGAGATTGGCTTTTGATGCTGGATGCTTCTCTTCCAGGCGAAACATTCTTCAAGCGTATGGAAGATGGATCCTTAGAACGAAAAATTGAGGGATGGGGAGAGGAGGACAATCATTTACAGTTTATTCCAGCTTTTGAATCAGATGAAGAAAGTGATGAAGCGGAAGACGAAGAAGTTACAGAAATTGAGGATAATAACAAAAGACCGAAAGATAAAGGGAAAGTCCCCAGAGAAAACAGAGATCCAAGAAGAGAAATTACTTATCATGTTTTTCAACACGAAATTTGGCCAAAGATGAAGAAGTCTTCAAAGGAAAAATTTGACTATCATCCAACTTTGGTTTGGACAGAAATAAGATCCTTTATAAAAGGTTCTGCTGAGGCCCTGATGACTGAAAATGGATTCCTCCCTCTAGAAGATTACGAGTCTCTTGGTAGAAAAAAGGCACCAAACTTTTCCGCTGATAGAAAAGTGGTGTACGACCTGTTTGTTGTGTACCAGCAACAGCGTTTGCGAGATCGGATGTTTGATGAAGCTGACCTAGTGTTTAACATTCATCGACGTCTTCAAAGTAACCCTGTACCCCAGTGGTCAATTCACCAGTTTTACGTGGACGAAACACAAGACTTCACGCAAGCCGAGTTGTCCCTATTAATACGTTGCTGTCGCTTTCCAAATGAGCTGTTCTTCACTGGTGACACTGCTCAAAGTATCATGAGGGGGATTGCGTTCCGCTTTGATGATCTAAAAACTTTGTTCCACCATGCAAAGAAAGCGGCCGCTATCAAAGAGGGGCATCACAATTTTATCCGTGTCCCAAAGAAGCTCTATCAGCTAACACACAACTATCGGTCACACGCGGGAATTCTTCGCCTGGCCTCAAGTGTCGTAGATTTGCTGCTCCATTACTTTCCAAATTCATTTGACCGGCTGCAAAAAGACGAAGGTTTGTTCGAGGGACCTAAACCAGTGCTGTTAGAAGCCTGCAGTCCCACCGACCTCGCCCTGATTCTTCAAGGAAATCAGCGACAGTCGTCCAGGATTGAATTTGGAGCTCATCAGGTAGTTCTTGTGGTATCTAATAAGGCCAGAGAGGCAATGCCAGATGAGCTTAAGCAGGGATTAGTGATGACCATCTATGAAGCCAAGGGACTGGAGTTTGACGACGTCTTGATTTACAACTTCTTCAAAGATTCTCTGGTAAGCGAAGCACAGTCCTTCCATTACTTAGATAACAAGTGGGGGAAGTAAGAAAATATTACTTGTGAGGTCTGTGAGTGAACTACCAAACTCGTCAGCTTATTGCAAATATGGTTCGTCTTCAAGTGACAAGTTAATGTTAATTTGAATGAACACTACGTGCAAAAATGTTACGAGAAGGATCACATCCATGTAAAGGTATTTTGTTATAACGAAGAGAATATCAAATGAAAGTTCGATTACGAATCCAGCTAGTTTTGAATGAGGCTATATCAAACCGTAAGTGTTCGGCATGAATCATATTATGAGTATTATCAACTCCTACGGAGCAGGGATGGCACAAGGGTGGTCTGGGTTCGAGTCCCGAGGTCGACGCCTTACGTGGGTTGAGTTTATTGTGGTACTTTTTTCTGTTCCGAGAAGTTTTTCTCTGGGCATCCACTTCCCCCCTCTTCTCAAAAAACATTCCATTCCGATTTGGAAAGCATGTCAAATTATTTTAGGGCATTGCAATGTCCACTGCGTTGTCAGTCGTCTTATCTAAATAATTTTTTTTATCATGCTAGGCCAAAAAAGAATGGAGAGTGGTCACAAGTTTTGTGGAGCAACAAAACTTGACAGATGCCTCGGGTTCAACTGGGCTGGCAGAGATAACTGAGGAAAGCGTTCAGGTAAAACGCTCGCGTCCACTGGAATTTGATCCCGAAAAGCACAAGGTTTTAAATTCTGAGTTCAAGTATCTGTACACTGCCATTACTCGAGCGAGGGTGAACGTTTGGTTCTTCGACGAAGACGAGGAATTTCGTGCACCGGTGTTTGAATATTTCCGCACACTGAAGCTGGTTAATGTGGTGACGTTAGAAGATCAGGGGAAGGGGACAGGTCCACTTGCTAGCATGTTTGCTGTTAAGTCAACACCAGAAGAATGGCGAAAAGGAGGAATGCGCTTCTACAAGAAAAGATTGTGGGTAGCTGCGATACAGTGTTTCACATTTGCTGGTGATATGTTAATGCTCCAGAAAAGTCAAGCACAACAGCAGGCAGCAGAGGCTATTAAGTTCCGTTCTACAAACCGCCAAATGATGCGAGACGAGTTCCTGCGCGCTGGTGAAAGCTTCTTGCAATGTAAAATGTATGATGAAGCTGGGATTTGCCTGAACAATGCACGAGAATGGACGCTTTTGGCCAAGCTTTACGAAAAGATAGGAAAGGTAACGGTGGTATCTTATACTCAGTATTTCTTCTTCAGTACCTTGAAGAAGAAATGTTTTTCCCTACTATGCGTATTGAATGCACTAGGAGAAGCACGGAGCTGTATTTGACGCTAATATACTTTTAAACTTAACACGCAATGAAACAAAGCTGGCATAACAAAAGAGTCAGCTAAATGTTTTCATTTAAATGCTGTTAGCCAATTTGATTGCTGATATCTACTCTACTCTTTCTTTCTAATGATTTGTAGCATCAAGATGCTGCCCGACTCTTCAGAAAGAAAGGATTACTTCAAGAAGCAAGTAGATGCTTTGAATCACAGAACAACTACCGCGATGCTATCGAGATCTTGTGCTCGGCAGGCCGTATTGAAGAAGCTCTAAACGCCATGGAGCGTTTCAAGATTTTATCTTCGAGTGTTGATTTAGAAGGACGACAAGGAATCATCCCACCAAAAGACACTCGTACTGTTGAAAGGATGCGCCATCAACTAGCTGACAAGCATTTCAGGGAAGGTAATAAGGAAAAAATGGAGGAAGTTCTCCAACATCTTCCATCAACCAACGACCGCATTACGTTCTTGAGGAAACGTGGGTGTGTAATCGAGGCAGCTAGAGCAATGGGAGAAGATGGGAGAAGAAATGAAGCGGCGTCTCTTCTAAGAAACGAAGGGATGTTTCAGGAAGCAGTTAAGTACTCAAGTGATCCTACATTTACCGCTGACTGTCTGTTGTTACAAGCTCGCACAACAATGAACACTAACGACACCCAAGCGATTCTTCGCATGGCTTTGGATAAGTACCAAAAGTATCAAAACCAAAGAGGCCAGGCGGAAGCACTGCTTATGCTGGGTCGACTATCAAATGATGTTAAAAAGATACAAGACGCTAGCGAATTGTTTTGTACGTGCAAAAATTTTTATGGGCAAGCCGAGAGTGTAGCAGAGCTACTAAGGGCAACACATTCGCCTCCCGAGACCTCTAGTCAACAGGACATTATACAGGCCTTAGAGGGGTTATTAGGCCTTATTACTCTCTTGTACCAGCCTGCTGGCCAGCATTCAATGCCGGAACGAAAAGAAGTACAAATATGCGAAGAGCACTTTGGGCTTTTTACCACTGACAGTGAACAAACCAGGGTCTATTATTGCAAAATGGGAGGAAGATTCTCGAGGGTAGATCCTCAATTCATAGAAAGAAATTCCTCCAAAAGTGAAGCAACAATCGAAACTACTGATGCCCACCAGAAGATCGGAAAGTTCCTTACTGGTTTCTCTGTCACTTTCGCAGATATGATTAAGAAGATGCTGGAAAACACGCTCTTAAGAAATTCTGTTTGCAGAAAGGAAACATATGGATCTAGCTGCGATAATCCCGCAAGCTGTGAATATCAGCATGAAGATTCAGAAGAGCTCTTTTATAACCGTTTTCACACCTTGTTAAATTTCGTATACTTGAATTCAGTGGTCAAGCAATTCGTTTCCGAGATGACTGGGAACAAAAATGGAAGTGACGTTATTCCATTGGGTTTCAAGTGCTTCGTTGAAAACCATCAAGAATTCGATGCTTGTCAACGGTTTTACAACTTCTTGTTTCCCCCCTCGGGCTATCGAAGACATCTCATCAAGGGCTTTCACATTATTAAAGTTAAGGCGATAAAAGCAGTAAAACGACGAATTTTCCAGTTTGCTGAGTTCTTATGGAAGGAAAAAACCAAGGAAAAGCGCCGAGCAGACACCGACAACTTCCTGAAAGTGTCGTCCTCGTTGCAACTAATAGGTTCTTCTAAAGTTATGTTGAAGTGGATTTGTGAAGAAGAAAACCAGTTTAAGAGGGAGAAAAGAAAGTTGTTTAACACGACAATGAATGATTTAGTTAGAAATGGAATGGTTCAGAAGAAAGATACAGGTGCTTATGAAAGCTATCTTCACTGGTGGGAGATCGGCAAGAAGAAATTATACGTGTCTGGTGATGTGGAGAACGCAGCCCATGAAATCATAAGATCGTTCCTCACCCTTACAGCCAAACGAAGTGGCATGATCTATCCATCAATTGCTAATACCGTGATGATCATCGAGTATCAGTTGACTGCGTGCCTTGCACTGTACGCCAATTTGTGCACACACCACCGATACCCGATATGTTTGCCCGAAAGCTACCTAGTCATGGTGCGGTTTTGGGATAATGTCAGACCAAATGCTGGCAAAGGCACCTTCACTTTATATGAAGCAGTTGAGCATAATGCAAGGCAAGAAAGATATAAACAAAGACTGCTCAAAGCCACCTGTAAAGTTTTGGACTACATGGTGAGGTTGACATGTGGTGACGTCGCACGTAGGTTTGACGTTTTAGGAGACGCACTGAGCTCTGATGACAGTCCAACACATAGCACCTCTGGAGAAGTAGAAAGAAGCCTGGTTCTTTTCCTCACGATGCTTTGCAATTGTGGGAAAGGAATCTCTACTTCCATGGAGGGCATCATGTTGAAAAACATTTTTAGCCTGAAGCCCAACCCTCGTCTACCAAACCGTATTAAAAACGCAGTAATGGAAGTCCAAGAGGCAGAAGGGTTCTGTGACGTAGTAGCAGTATTTGATAAATTTTTGCAGAGTCGAGGTGAAAGGCTGTATGATCTCCGCTGGCACAACGGCAAACTTTGGTTCGATGGATCAGATGGACCATCGAATCCTAATAATTACCGTAAAAGGTTCCACAGTGATACATCCAATATACGTGAAGAATTAAGAAAGAAGCAAGTAGAGACACCTCATTGCGGTGAAGCCGTTGGCGAAGGCAATGAAGATTCTGGAGCGGTAGATTTTGACGCCACAGAAGAAGACATTGAAGTAAAGTACACAGAAGAAGATTTGAGAGAGAAAGAGAATGCTAGATCAGAAGTAGCTGCCACAAAGATCCAAAGATGGTATAGAGGAGTCAAGCAGTCAAAAGAAATCCCAGCTAGAAACTTGGAAAGGTTAAAATCCATTGAGGAGCAAAGTAAGGCCTCAAGAAGTGCCGTTGAGGAGCGCTTTTCCAAGTTTGAATTGGACTCGTTTGCTTGTGGAATCTGTGGAGTACACTTTCCATCATTGGATGATTATCAAGAAGAATATGACGGTAAAGCGCTTATAATTTTCATTTCTTCGAGCACCACTGTATCCATTATAGTCCACGCGTCTTCCATTCATCCAACAATTTATCGATACATCTAAGCTTTCATGTAGCATCATATCTACTTTTCCATCTAATCATCTATCCAACCCTTAACGGCATCTAGAGCCATAATGGCACTTTCAAGTAATCGGCTCCTGGACTTCTGTCTCTATTTGGCTCTTGTCAAACTTCACTGATTCATTCGTTTATCCTTGCATTCCTTACCTTTTTGTCTGTCCACAAATCAATTCATTTGGTCATCTACATTCGCTGAACTTATCGCTTTGTCTTTTCCTTTATTTTAGGTGCTTTGTCAGACAAGCAGGTCGAAAATGTAGAAGACCACAGAAGGTCGGATGCTCATTGTCAAAAAGAGGAACAATTCCAGCAGTACAAGGAGATCTACTTAGCAGAGATACTTCCCTGTTTGGTGAAAGAAAAAGAGCTACGAGACATGATTGATGATATTTCCTCATCTGGTGACAAGAGGGGAACGGAACATGTCGCACTGGATTTGGAAAGACTGGAAACAACTCTGTCTTTGTTGAAAAAAGACGTGCAGACCATCGAGACATTACTGAAATGGGAAGATGCCGGTTTGCTGTTGAAAACAGCAAAAGAACTAGAAGTTAGCCTTGAAGGACTATTCAAACTTTTGGAACGAGGTACTTTTCAGAATACAGACCATAGGTAACTCCATAATTCAATTGCAGTGAAAGTAATTAACTTCTAGGATTTGATCCGTTCTGAGCCATGCAATTATTTGTCTGACGTATTTGTCTATAGATTAAAGTACATCTGTCTTTTACTTTTATCAACAAAATTAATGATGAATTTTTTAACTAGCATTTTTAAAAGACCACATTGATATCTCTTCAAATGTACCAGCGTGTGAGCGCTGTGCAATAAGAGAACAATAGATAAATTTTTCCCAATGATTTCAATGAATAGCTTTTACTTTAATTATCCATGCCGTTTAATGTGTAGCAATTAAGAGCCTTTTTCTCCACAGCAAAAGCCGATTCGGTGGTGGATGAACCCACGACGGGAAACGACGAAACTGAAGATCACGACGACAGACTAGAGGAAGGAGGAGGAGAGGACTCACTCATGGATATGCATAAGGATTTACCGAAGAAGCGTCGAAAGCACAAAAGAAAGAAACGATCACAAGCTACTGACACGACAGTCTTGCCATGAGTAATACCGCTTTCTTTAGTTTTTCGAGATTCATTTACTTCAGTAGTTATTTAATGAAGTGACCTTCACATTACAAATACGAGTTTCAGTTGGAGAAAATCAGCCAGTTTGTCCCCAGAACGCTGATTTTATTTTCCAATGTTGATCAACAGAGGTAGAGTCTTCAGGAATGCGATCGGTGTGACAAACAGATTATATAACTTAAACTACCGCTACCAAGCCCTCCCCGCCCCCACTTATAAGCTCCCCAAGCTTACAGGCGTGTCTATATTACCTGGCTCTTAGATTATGTTAGAACAGTTGCAGTTTATCCAACTTGGCCCTTAAATTATGCACAAACACATGCATGCTAATGTTAGAAGTTCACACTTGTACCTCTGACCTTACGTGGGAGGGGTAGAGTAGCGTGGGGCCTAGGCTCGAGTCAGGAGTACCCGACGAAGCCGCTCGACAAAATACCCGCTCGACAGGCAGAATTTGAGCTAGCTGGAAAAAAAAACATTGGCTAATTAGCTGGCTGGGAAATCTGAATTAGCGCCTCGCTAGCTGAAAATA